GTTGATTCTCTAAAGACATATTCCTTTTCCATTAAGTGACTTTAGTTGTCCAAATAATACTTCCAGACAGTAGTAATCATACAGTTGGAGACTAAGAACAGAACTCAGGGATGTGTCTAGCAGTCAGTAAAGACCAACTGGGCTCACTGATGATATTTACAGTCATTTCCTCTAGACTAACATAATCTTATTAATAAGAACCTAATAATTCACAGTACTGCCCTTGCCTGATTGTTTGTTCTTCTCCCTCTATCACTCTCTCTTTCCCCATATTATTATTTTTTTGGACAATTTTTGGTGAATTAAATTCAGGGATTAATATTCAGGAGTACTAGTCACAAAAGCAGAGAATCTTAGCTCACACCAAAGGAAGAAAATAGAGAAAAAGTATAAACTATATGAATACACACACATACACACATGTACCAACTATATGTTGCGCTTCTCCAAAATCTATTCGGTATCTGCACATTTATTGTATATTAGCAGTAAGACTAGAAATGAGCGTAACGCTCTGTTTACAAGATACAGAAAACAAACCCAAATATGGAAATTACTAGCAATGAGAATGGGGAAAAAAGACTACAACAGGAATCTAGATGATATTTTTGTTTCCTAGCTATGATGCCAAATATTGAACTTTCAACTTGAGACAAGGAGGCCATAAAAAGTTGTATTAGTTTCCTAGAGCTGCCATGACAAAGTACCAGAGACTGAAGAGGTTAAACAACAGAAATTTACTCACTCACAGGTCTAGAGGCTAGAAATCTGAGACAAGGTGTCAACAGGATTGATTTCTTCTGAGGTATCTCTTCTTGGTTTGCAGAAGCCATGTTTCCCTTTGGTCTTCACATGGTCTTCTCTCTGTGCATGTCTGTGTCCTAATATTTTCTTTTTATAAGGGCACCAGTCATATTGGATTAGAGCCCACCCATGTGACCTCATTTGACCTCAATTACCTATTTAAGGGCCTTATCTCCAAATACAGCCATATTACGAGGTATTGGGGGTTAAGACTTCCACATATTAACTTGAGTAGGACACAATTCAGCTGATAACAGAAGGTAAGAGTAATTTAAGTAAGTAACTACTGTTTACAGTGAGTTGCTTAAGGATATGAATTTACTCAAGAAAAACAAGAAGAAATTACATAACACTGTATGTTATACAAAGATATTAAATAAATCATCATAACATCCTGTGAGATGGGCATCAAATTAGACTAAGCAAGATTAAGCAACTTATCCAGAATTGTATAGCTGGTACTTTCCAGAATTTAAACCAGACATTTTCCCAATTCCATTCTACATTATATCTTCATTTCATTATTTGAAATGAATTTTGAGTCTTCATTTTGCTTAGTTTCTGAAGTTATATGGGGATAGAATGGAGTTGGATATTTTCAGTGACATTCACACATGGGGAAGGAAATTGAGTCCAGAAGTTTCCGTGATGTTTCCATGGAGAACGCTAACAACAGAACCAGAAACACTGTTAACCTTTTGGTTCAGTCATCTTTCGTAACACACTACAAGAATTAATTTTAAGAAGCCCAATGTTTTCCAAACTTTCAACAATGGGCTCTGTGGGGTCCTCTAATAATATCTAAGAGACTAACTAGTTTCACATTCCAAGCCACTTAAGACAAGGAGTTCTGATTGTTCTCTGTGAGGAAATCAAGTGACAATCATAGCTGGTAATTTAGGATAGTTTCTTCAGGGCCCAGGCAAAACCTAATACACAGTAATAATCATTGTTAACTGCATCTTTGACAAGGATTAATCAAGTATCAAAGAGGTCTATAAATTGTGAGAAATTATGATCAAAGAGAAACATAGACCACAGATATTTAATTAATGCTCAATTATTTATGAGTTTAACTTTGGTTAACCTTATTTTCCTTCTTCTAGACAATTTCCAATTCATCTCCACAAAGAGACCAGAATACTCACCTTCCAATACAAGATTTATTGTGTTCCTTTAATTAAAAGCATACAGTGACTTCTACATTCACTCCACCAAGTTTTGCTAGGAGAGAAAAGGAGACATTATATTTTGTCTTGAATTAGATATGCCACCATACTTGACTTAGCTCATCTTACTGGAAGCACTTCGATGGCAGATTCTACAGTCTTGTCTTATTACATCCTCTACTGAATCAAGCCAAGGGAATCACACATATTTACAGCTGGAAAAACATTTGTTCTGGGTTGATACTTTTAGCTTTTACCAACAAGACTTTATCACCACGATCTATTTTTACCGTCTCTAAACAGGAGACCTTCTTCTCTTCCATTTTCATATTGACTAGGAAGGTAAAAGGAAGAACTGAGAAGTACCCAAAGTCAGCTAGCAGCCAGCACAGATAAATCATCTGTGGAGATATTGTTTCTTTCAAAAGATATAAACATAAGAGGAAGTCCTAGAGTTTGTAACAATTGTGCATAATAAAATTCCATGAAAACCTAGAAATCCAGATGCAGATCAGTAACATATTGGTTAAATAAGCTGTTATGTTCATGCAATGGACAAGTGTACAGACATTAGGAAGAACGAGATACTCTTTTCTATGAGCTTCTCTTTTCACTGAACCCATCAGTGCTGCAAAAACAATGTTACATAATACTTTTTCTTTAAGATTATATCAGCCATCTTCATCTTGTCCTGCATTTATTGCCAGTGTTACTAAAGTTTATCATTTACCTCTTTCTTTTTTAGACATATAATTTCTTCTTATTTTGGAAGCATTCATCAATCCCTATTTTACTCTTTCTTTTAAATTACTAATGAATATTGAATTTTATAAAATATCTTTTGGGGTATATTTCAAGTGATTGTAGTTTTGCTTTCCTTGGACCTTGTTATATGGTAAATTATACTTTGTTATTTTATATTATGCTATTTATTATATATTGTATTATGTTTACTAATTATATTTATTATATTATAATTACATTATAATTAAGGTAGCATTTTGTTTTAGATAGACAAAACAACCAGTGGAATAGGAAGCATCTTAAAACTAGATGCAAGAGCATAAGGGAATTGAGATTAAAATAAAATTCACATTTTGGATCAGTAGCAAAAATTATTCAACCAAAGTGGGAAAATATGGCTATCATTACTAAATTCTAGATACAGAAATTAGTTAAAAGTTTAAAAATAATGAAACTGTAAAAGTATCAGAAACCTGGGAGACTTGAAATAAATTATTCATGAGGAATACCTTTCTAAGATACAAAGAAAAAAGGATACATTTAATTATATAAGAATTAAAATTTTCCTCATGCACTACAAAGGTGAGAAAACAAGCAAAAGAAATTGGGAAATATATTTAGAAATGGATATGCTTTCTTTCCAACTTTTGAGAGAAGCACATGTTTCTTTTTCCTTTAACCTGTTATGTGGGTATTAATCTATAATGTAAGTGCATGGTTCCTTTCCTTTAACCTGTAATGTGAGATTTAATCGATATGGTAAGTGCATGGTTCCTTTCCTTTCATCTGTAATGTGAGTGTCAACATGGGGCACTGTTTCCAAGCACAGACTTTGGATGTTCCTGTACTGGTCCCATCACTGACCATCCACAAAAACTTACAAATGTTGCTTCACTTTCCTGGGGGTTAGAGTCTTAGCTAAGAAATGGAAGGAAAATAGAAGTTTTCCCCAGGGATGATAGAAGGTTTAAAGGAGTAAATATGTAAGTGACTTAGCACAGTGCCTAGTACAAGAGAGATCAATATAAGTATTTATCAATCTTTTAAAGAGACAGATGAAAGAAATAAAATGTGGTGTTTTCAATCTATTGATATATATTCTTGGCATTAAACTACCTTTTCATTCATTGGATGACCTAACTTGCTCATGCTTTTTCTTATTCTAGTGAACTTGGGTAGCTAATATCATAGTTTAAAATTTTTGCTTTTATATTTACAAGTAAATTTGACCTGTAAATTTCTTTTTCCTCACAGTCTTAATCTATTTTCAGTATTAGGATTATATAGGCTTCATAAGATGAATAAAGGAGCATTCTTCCTTTGCTACTCTCTAGAAGTTTTTCTTTATTAATATTGATGTTATCTGTTTAATAGAAGTTTGATAGAATTCACCTCCCAAATGATCTGGGTGGGTCTGGTATTTTCTTGGTGAAAGATTGTAAACTATTGACTTAATTCCTTTACTGGTGAAAGAACTCCAGCTACAAATTTCCTCTTGTGTCAGTTTTGGTAAACTTTAGGAGCTAGGAAATTGTCCACTTTACATAAATGTTCAAATTTACTGGCATTTCATATATTCTCTACTATAACATTGTCCTGATTCTTTCTGTATATTATTTACTTATGTTTTTGTTTTACTTAATCAAAGTGTGTTTTTAAAATATTTTCAAAGAATATTCTTTTGACTTACTAAATCACCTAAATTTTATACTTTTTTCTGTTTTATTAAGTTCTGCTCATATCTTTATTATCTATTTTTTCTATGTTATCAGGATTTATTGTTTTGCTCTTCTGCGTACCACAAAAAAAAAAAAATGAATGAGTCAAGTTTCATCTAGGATACGTTAGTATTTGACTTCAGTTTCTGATTTGGAAAGTGAGCAAGCCAAAATTATCTTCCACTGACAACCAAAGGAGACAAACAGAAGAAGAGCTGACATGCTATTCTGGATAACAAGGAAAATATGTAATAACTCTCTCCATTTTCTCAAACACATCCTGTCTTATTCTTCCACTTCTAAAGGGTGGGATTCATTAAAAGTAATCAGCAAAGGGCTTCCCTGGTGGCGCAGTGGTTGAGAGTCCGCCTACCAATGCAGGGAACACGGGTTCGTGCCCCGGTCCGGGAAGATCCCACATGCCGTGGAGCGGCTGGGCCCGTGAGCCATGGCTGCTGAGCCTTCGCGTCCGTGGCCTGTGCTCCGCAATGGGAGAGGCCACAACAGTGAGAGGCCTGCGTACCGCAAAAAAAAAGTAAACAGCAAAGAAAAGCAGTGTGAGGAAGCCCCCATTAAAAGTCAGGCTCGCCCCTCAAGGCACACACATAATTCCTGTTAAGGTTAATAGGAGTCAAGTGCACGTTGACAAACAGAAGAGACGTAAGCAGGGAAACCAAGTATCTGGTAATAGGCTTTGAGACTGAATTCTGGGCCTCCTTTGCACAGCTAGTAGATATTCTGGTTGACATTTACATCAAAAATTTAGTGTCAGGCTTCCCTGGTGGCGCAGTGGTTGAGAGTCTGCCTGCCAAGGCAGGAGACACGGGTTCGCGCCCTGGTCCGGGAGGATCCCACATGCCGCGGAGCGGCTGGGCCCGTGAGCCATGGCCGCTGAGCCTGCGCGTCCAAAGCCTGTGCTCCGCAATGCGAGAGGCCACAACAGTGAGAGGCCCGCGTAACGCAAAATAAATGAATGAATAAATAAATAAATAAAATAAATAAAAATTTAGTGTCTACCCTCTTTGATATTCTGCTGCCTCAGGCTCCCCAGGTGACAGTCCAATCATAGAGCTGGAGCAGCAAAAAGGACACATGATTTAAGGGGAAAAATATTAAAAGGGGGAAGAATTAGGAACCTGGATTTACAAAGAATCTGTATTTACAGTCATCCCCCGCACATTTATCCAACCTACTGTGAACGTAGATTGTATCATCACATCAACAGTGTCATAACAACTAGAAATTGAAGATTAAATTTGCACGGTGCCCGAGAGTGTCCCTGCTGTGGGGCCGAGGGAAGGAAGAAAAAGGTGAAGGGGAATTGGCTGCTCCCAACCTAGCAAGACGGCTGTGGAGGGAATTCAAATTCCACAGGACAAGCACTGTGGAAGCACACAGCTGAGCAAGTACCTCTGCCTGAGGGAAGATTGATGGTTTCAGACGAAGGGAGGTGGGAGGGGTCAGGACAGGGGGAGACAAAGGAATGGCATCTGGCAGAGAGCTGTCTCTGCCAAGGCACGGGGGACACCAGCAAGTTCTCTGCAGCACCTGGGGTGCTGGGTGCCTGGCTGGGGGCAGGACTGCAGACCGCAGAGGGCCCTGCGGACAGGCTTTCCTGGGAACTGGATCGATCGGATCTTGGAGCAACGAGGAGCAATCAGGTCTGCACAACAAGGAGTTGTGCCTTTTAGTAAAAGCACTAGGACATAGGGGCTGGAGGGTGGGGACACTGGGGGAGAGGCCTGCTGGAAAGCTCCCACAAAGAACTTTCTAGGTCAACAGAATTAGGGCTCGTGACCAAGACAGGGACACTGGGGAGTTTCAAGCTTGGGCAGTAAATGCAAATGCCAATAGGGACCCAACGGTCATATAAATGAGTATAACAGGCCCAACATGACAGACTCAGCACAAACTCCCTACGTTACCTGTTAACTGTGAGGGCCCTTTCTTTACTTCCACAGAGAAACAGTCTCCCTTTTGCTTGAAACATACGGCCCTCCCAGTCTGTTTCTCCCACTTTCAGAGACACGGGGATTATGAAATAAGACATCTGGCTTTAAATCATCTTCCCATGTTCCAGTAAGGGCTCAAATTGTGTGTTTTAAACCCTGTGAGCCACACCGAACACTGCCATAGGCTGTGCTGGGCCACCGCTCCCAGGCGTTATCACTAAATCCCAGAGCAAGGGCAGGGCTTGTGGCCTGAATGAGTTGGGGGGCAGGGAGAAGGTGCCAGGCTGACAGAGCCCTACCAGGGGGCCGGGTGGGTGTGGAAGCAGCGGGTAATCCTGGGACTACAAAGCTTCCAGGCCAGAGTCTGAGCAGCGTTCCCCAGGGAGTCTATCAGGGAAGCTGATAAGGATGGTTGTGACTGGAAAAGCAGTGCCACAGTCAGTCCTAGAAATTTAGGAAATCCTGAACTAACAGGGCTACAAGGGTTTCTTGACTCAACTTCCTAGAGCGTCTCAAGAGCTCCGGTGAATCGTGAATTCCCGAGACGATAATTCATACAGGAACAGCGTTTTCCCCAAATGCTTGTGGCTGAAAAACCCACTGCATCTCTGGGATGAGTATTCTAGAATGCCCACTGAGAAACCCCGGGACTCCCCAAGGTAACAGAGGGTTGTGTGTGAGGGCAAAGGCACCACCTCAGCGCGAAACAGCATCTCACAAAGGTGGTGAGGGTTAGGATGGCGCAAGAAAACTGCAGGCAGTTGGCAAGTGATGACAAGACGCTCGTTTCAGTGGTGTCTGCTCCAAAAGACAAACCAGAAACAGAAAGGGCACGAAAAGTGCATCCTGTGGTGAGAGAAGCCCACAAAGGAGTCACTAGGCCTCTCCTGACTGCCTAACTTTTAAATAAAAAATTAACTCTAAATTTGCACACGATTAGGAAAACTAGAGTAAATATATAAAGATCTATTCCCTTCCATAGAGGTGGTTGCCATTAACAGCCTTTTGTACATTTTCAGGATCAGATACACAAATGTGTATACGTGTATATATGCGTGTTTCCACATGTACATATATACATATATAGTATTTACAAATACAAACACTGTGGGTTTCTAAGTGGAATAATAGACATGTCCTTTTCTACACTTGCTCTTTTTCCTTTTGACCTGATGACGTATCAGGTCATCTTCCCAGTTTGCTCACAGACCTTCCCCGTTCTCCACACACACCTTACTCCATACCACGGATGGATCCTAATTTCCTTCATCAGACCCCTCCTGAAAGACATCCGGGTTGTCTCTAGATTTTCCCCATTACATAAGTATCCCTCATTGGACTTGCGGGTGCCTGATTTTATGCACACTTCTGTGCAAGGCAGAGTACTGGCAGAGGGCAGGTGCCTAGAAGTAAAAGTCTTTGGACAAAGAGCAAGAGAGTTTTGAACTTTGATGGACGCTGCAAACCTTGCTCCAAAATTGAACACATTTATTACACTTAACATAGGCAAAATGTGCTTGTTCCCTCGTCTACACCAGATGTTATCAGTCTTTAGAATTTCTGCCCATCAGATGGGAAGAAAATCCCATGATTTTAATCTGCATTTCCTAAAGAAGTTGGCCCCTCTTCATTTGTCTAGTAGTCAGCTGTACTTCTGAGTTGTTTGCTCATACAGGTAGAAACCAGCCCCTGCCTTTTTAAAATTTGGTTATCCTTTTTCATTTATTTGTGGGTTCTTCTCTATATCAACAGTAACCTTTATATGTTAATATACTACCAAACTTTTGTGTCTGTCATTTTGTTTTRTTTACGTCTTGAACTGTAGAAGAGTTTTAAATTTTCATGTAATTAAATATCTTTTACTTTATGGCTTCTGAGTTTTATGGCTTACTTAGGAAGGCTTCTGTACTCCCTGCACTWACACAGAAATTCTCTCCTGTATTTYATATTTGYTTCTTGCATTTAGTTGCATTTGCACCTTTTCRACTGACTAGAATTTGTGTATGYTGTGATGCAAATATCTAATTTCTGTTTAAATGAATTATCAATGCTTCAATCAGTCAATTAGACAAAAAGTCAAGTTAGACTGTAAAATTGTCTAAGTTAAAATACAATTCTCAAGTAAACAGGGACCAGTTTCTGGACTCTTCCACCAATCTGTCTTTCCCTCTGCCTGTGGCTTTATATGTTAATAGATCATATGTTAACATTATATTTTATTAATGTTAACATATATGTTTAAAATGTTTCATCTACCCATTTGCACTAACTTTTTCAGGTGAACACTGAACTGACTTCTAGATATATACTAATTTTTGTGACTATTGCAAATGGGATCTTTCCTTGTTTTTTAGTGTTATTTCTGGAGAATGGGAAAGTAACTGACTTTTACATATTTAGACACAACTGATCAAAATTCTGAACATGATCCTTTCTAGTTTTTCCACTGATTCCTGCATTTGGAAAAAAACAGTCATTATCACCTGTGATTTTTGTTGTTTCCTTACTAAAGGCCCTGGAACCGGCCCTCCCCACCGACTCTCCCCAAGTTCTTTTCCTGCCTGATCCCACTTCCCCGCTGCGTCTGACCCTAACCTGTCTGCGCTGCTGTAAAACACTGTTCACAGGGTTGTGATGACAAAAAAGTGTATTCATACCTGTAAAGTGCCAAGGGCTCTGCCTACTTGATTTTGGGGTTGTCACTAGACACATCACATGCTTCCCTCTCTTTCCTAAGGCCTGGACCCCACAAGAAAGGGAGAAAAGGTGACCTCATATCTGGATATGGATTTTGTCACTTCACGAGCTTTATCATATTAAAATTAATATCTAATACATATTAAAAACTATGTGTCAGGAACATCCTAGGTGCGTTCCATAAGAAACACAAATAATATTAACAGCTAACCGTTAACGGAAATAATTAACCGTTAAGGAATAACCATTAAGGCTGTTTTAATTTTAGCACACCAGATATATAAGGGGTATAAGTTCTAGTAGCATTAAAAAAAAGAAAGAGTTACCAATTCTAATAGTAGCTTTTCCTTTTCAACCACTTCCCAAAATTATAGTTCTCTTTTTCTGTCTAGCAGCTTTGCATGGTTCCTTCACCGATGGAGAAGTTATCCACTGGTACTGAGAAAGCAATGATAAATATAACATTTAAGTTACAGGTAATTTAGGAGGGTTTGATCTTCATTGGAAATTAAGATATTTTAAGTTAATAAAAGGTCTTCAATCTGCATTTCTGGGAAGCTAAATTAAAGCATCACACAACATTTTCAAAAACAGAAAAGCCATTTCATTTGACTAAAAACTTAGTTTTAAGATGGCAGAAAGTAGCTTGATAATTTTCTTTTAAGAAGGAAAGAAAAACAAGCCATTAAAGAGTAATTCTTCCGAGAGAATTAAAACATATTATATACCTCTGACTTGGCACTCCTTCCATTCTGGAGACCTTTTTTGATAACTGTTTTCATCACAGAATGATTTAAAATAAAATAAATTGAAATTAGAGTAATTATTTCCCAATGAGTGGCTACTGCCATTTAAAACCAAAAGCCAACTAATTATTGCTTTTCCCATAAAATTAAATATGAAATCTACATTATGTAACTATACACTTATCTCCCCGTTTGTGTATTCTAATTTCTTCCTCAGAAACCTGAGATGCCATCTTGCAGACTGCCCACAGTGGCTACTATTTTGGCAGCAGCAAAGGTCAACTTTAAACATTTTGCATCTAAAGTGGCTTTAGATACCTTTGGATATAAAGTACAGTCTGAGCACTGTCCAGACACTTAGATACCTAAAGGGCATCTAAGATAACAAACCAAAGTCCTGATATTCCCTCAAAAGCTGCTCCTCCCATCAGCCCCCTTCTTCTAAGTGATACCACCCAGTTGCACACATAATCATCAACGACTTGTCTCCTTGTTACTATTCCCTTCATACCCCACATCTAATCTATCGGCAAGCCTTGTTAGCTACACCCTCAAAACACAACCTGAATTCAACCACTTTTCACTTGCTGCAAAGTTCCAACCTAACCTAGGCCATAAACATCTCTTATTTGGACCCCTGTGATAGTCTCCTAACTGGTATCCCTGTTTCTCTTCTTTATCCCCCCAAGTCTATTCTCTATACCAGGTCATCTTATTCAGATACTATTTGGATCATGCCTTTTTCCACTTCAAAACCTTCTACTCATATAGAATAATCCACATCTTTACTCTGGCCTTCAAGACTTTACAAGTGCAGACCCCTGGCTAGCTCCTTGACCTCATGTCATACCACATCTTCTTCACTTAGTACTCTGGCCATGTTGGCCTCCTTGCTTTTCCTTCAATACTCCACCCACCTACATGCCTGCATACTCACGGGCTCCTTGTCCTGGAATGTGCTTATTCTAGTTCTTCCATGGCTTACTCCTCTCTTCACTCAGGTCTCCGTTCAAATGCCACTTCTCCAGTGAAGCTGTCCCCTGACAAACCTGTCCAATGGAGTCCTACCTGCCCCTGCTCACTCTCTTTACATAAAGATATTTTTGGACCTCCTACTATCTAAAATTATATGACTTATCTGTTTACTCATTTCTATCTGAACTCCTTCACTAGAATGTAAGCTCCATGAGGGCAAGACTTTTGTGTGTCTGGTTCACTGCTTTATCCCTAGTGCCTAAACCCGTATCTGGCACACAGAAGATATTAAAAAAATAACTTGTGAATCTGACAAATGAATAAAGTACTCCTTGCAAGAATTCAGAGGTTGCACAAGAAAAAAATAATGCTCTTGGTGGAAGCAGGTTTAGTATCTAGGTCCACCTCTGTTCAGAGTAGGGATAAGAACAATTTACAAGTATAACTCACTTTAATTAGTAAATTACCTGCTAAAAACATAAGTGCAACACTAGAAAAGTACAGTTGACTCTTGAACAACATGGGTTTAAACCTTGCAGGTCCACTGACACACGGATATTTTTCAATAAATATGTACTATTGTCCTACATGATCCAAGGTTGGTTGAATCCACAGATGCGGAACCACTGACTATAAACTTATACCCAGATTTTCAACTGCGTAGGGGTCGGCACCACTAACCCCACGTTGTTCAAGGGTCAACTGTATACGATGAGGAAAGTTAAACACATTAAGTTTTAAAAACTGTCAATACATGAACAAATTCTTTTTGTTTTGCTATGTGTTAATCAATTTTTAAAAAGTGACCACATACCAACAAGTGGATGTTTTCTTACATCCAGAAAGAGCAGAGTTCTGTTGGTTTCAAGGGCCTTTAGTAAAGCCTTTGCTCCTTCACCGGTGAGGCCACACTGCTGCAGGTCAAGTGTTTTTGATGAAAGACAAAAGGTCACTTGCTAACTCTACAGATTTAACATATAGACAACTCTCATTTTCTCACGTGTCGAAGAGTCCTGCCCAAGACAAGTCACGGCAGGTTTGTAATTTTGGGTATGGAAAAACAAAAGAAACGTATACGCACACACATAATGCATAATCCAATTTAAAAACCTCTTCTTGGATGTGCAATGATAACCCTGGCTTTAGTACCAATAAATCATCCAACATATTTTACAATTACAGAACTGAAGAATAACTGTATATATAACCTGTGAGCAAAAAGCATCACAAAATGAACCTCAGTTCATAATTAGCAAGGGCGGCAGTGGCACGTAAACCTCACAAGCAAAACCTGGTGGAACTCAGAAATGCACTGCATTCTTTTGATCACGATCTTCAGCTCCAAATCACACTTGAAACTAGTTAAAAGGGGAAAACAAAATAGAAGAAATGTAATAACTGTTAGTTTTAGAGCAAAAAAGACAAGTCTAAGAGGATACAAATAATAAATTTAAACAATGTGTGAATAGAGAATACATACTAATAACAAATTCAAACGATGTGTGAATAGAGAATACATACTAAAAACCTATGATGAAAGTATGATGGTCAAGAACTCTCTCCATAAAAAGTCAGACAAAACCCAGAAAAACTGAACATGAATTCTAGTAGTTCTGGGGCTGAACAACCTACTCATTTAAACAAAAAGGATCATCACCAAAGCACAGGTATTAAAAAATATTACATGAAAGGAAACTATCATGAGTCTTTTTTTTAAGTGTTGTGTGGACCATCACATTAAAGTAACTGGAGTCTTTCAACACCCCCATGACATAGAGAAATAGCAAGTCAGACATACGGATCTGACAGGATATGATACAATCCCTACAAACTCTCACTACAGAAGAATGGACGCACAGTGTAATTAACCAAATAGCCAAATACAAACAGCCAGTAAACCTCACCAGGAAATCAAATGAATACAAAATAAAACAAAATGTGGTTATTCTCCTATCAGATTAAGCCAAGATTCTGTAAGAAAAGCCTTTAAATAATGTCTATACCCTTTTGATCCAACAACTCTCTTTCTAAGAATTTAACCAAAAGAAATAGTCAGAGATATAGGTAGGGATATATATCAGAGTACAATTTGTAACTGAAAAACTGGACAAAGCTTATACACAAGAAAGGATAAGCTATGTGCACTGTGGCATATTCATATAATGGAATACTGAACAATCACAAAAAGTGATGCAGGAGATGCAAATTTACTGACTTGCTAAAATGCTCATACTAAATTAACTGAAAAATGTTATAAAATTTGGAGTAATCCTACTTGCATAGAAAATGAAGAGGTACTCATTTTTGTAGTTTTACATTTTTTACAAGTGCTACAAGCCAGTGTTTGTGAGAGGCAGGCTTCACATCCACTGTTGGGGTGACTACAAATTGGCATAGCATTTCTGGATGGTAATTTGGCCATGTGTATCAAAAGTCTTAAAAATATGTCACACTCAGGTCATTCTACTTCTAGTTCCTTATTCTACAGAAGTAATCCCGATGGACACAGAGATGTATATACAACGTATTCACAATGTTTCTGACAGGGAAAAACAAACTGTCTAAATCTAATGGCAAAGAATTGATTAAACTATGGGACATCAATATGATGCTATACTACATGATACATCATTAAATGAAAAAAGCAGGAATATGAAATAGCAAGTATACTACAATTTTATTTTTGTAATCCCTAAGTGTACAAAATATATTCATAGAAAAAAAAAGACTGAAAGTATATACACCAAAATGAACAGTGATTATGTCTGGGTATTAAGATTATAGGTAATTGTTCTCTTGTAACTCTGCATTTTCTACAATGAATATATGCAACTCATAGAGAAAGTTGACAAGCAAAATAAAACCTATCAGAAAAATGAGGCTTTAAAAAAAATTCCTATCACAACAGTATCATGCCAAAAGCTAAGCATGTATCATATTAAAAATTCAATTATTTTCAATTTTAGAATTTACTTACAAGCCACAAATCCTCACTAAGAGATTCTGCAAAAGCACTTGCACCCATGTCACCAATGAGCATGTCGCAGTTCAGAGTGATGCGCCTCAAACCAGCCATACAGTCAAGATCAGGTCTCCTGGAATGAAGACTCTCAGCCCAGGTTTCCTCGTGCCTTCTGGTAGTCTGATACTTCAAAGATTTAATGGGACAAAATTAAGATGCTTCAATAAGGAAACAGGGTGTGCCTACTGAGTATGGCTTATTATGTCAGAGGTTTACACACACACGTATCAAGCATATGTGCCAGGAGAATCAAGCTGAGAAATTAAACAGTCAGTTCTGCTTCACGAGTCCAGTGACCCACATTCTAGTCCATCAGTGATTAGATTCCAGTCACTGGATGACCTGTTTCTGAACAGTTATGTAAAGTTGGACAACTCAATTACAGTCTATGAATTATTTTCCTGATCTTCTAACTCAGGGAATTGGTTCTAAATTCTATCATTGCTGAGGCTCTTAATTTCATCATTCTGTCCTCCAAAGGTCTCCAAACACCTGACTGGGCAACCCATAAGAAAACTTTTTAATATGCATCTTATTTATTAACAAATTATATACACGAAGTTCTATACATATAATGTATGTACATTATAAACCACACAGATATTTTAAAACTGATACAAAGGCAAATAGGTTCTAATATTTTCTTTTCCTAAATCTAAGGCATTATTTTACTATTATTATTATTTTTAAATATTTATTTGGCTGTGCCGGATCTTTACTTGCGGCATGCCGAATCTTTTAGTTGTGGCATGCGGGCTCTTAGTTACGGCATGCATGTGGGATCTAGTTCCTTGAGCAGGGATCGAGCCCGGGCCCCCTACATTGGGAGCGCAGAGTCTTAACTGTTGGACCGCCAGGGAAGTCCAAGGCATTATTTTAAAAACTGTATTACAAAATAGATCTCACATGCTACCTAGGGTATGCACACAAACTTTAGAGGCCTGGACTATGTACAGCCAGGTTGATGTGCCTTGGTAAAATAATGGTTTGACATTTAACCACAAGTACTGTCTTAAAGACATTCAATTCTTTATATTCATAAAATAAATTATGGTAATAGGGAACACTGACTTTAAATGAAAAAAGTCTTATTACATTCTTGAAAAAATAAAATACTCAAAGTGCCTTTGACACTCTAAAATGAAAATCATTAGTGTCATTTTCCTATTAACAATAGCTTATAAAAGCTCCAAGCAGAAATAACAGCAATCACTTACACAGTGCTTATTATGTGCCAGGCACTATTTATACAAATTAGTTCATTTAAACCTCATAATGAGGCACAGAGGTTAAGTGATTTGTCCATGATCACTAGCTATGAAATGGGAGAAAGGGAATTTGAACCTAGGCTATTTGGCTTCGGCACCCAAGTTCTTGACTGTTTTCAACCGCAGGGGTCAATGCACTTGCCCTGTATAGGCTCAAAGAATTTTTCAATTTTTAAAATCTAAATTTAAACATTTCCAGCTTTGTGGGCTATACAGTTTCTGTTGCAATTACTCAACCCCACTGGTGTAGGGTGAAAGTAGCCATAGCTACCATGTAAACAATGGGTGCGACTATGTTCCAAAAAAACTTTCTAAACAATGGGTGCGACTATGTTCCAAAAAAACTTTCTTTACCGGGCGACAGGCTGGATCTGGCCCACCAGCCATAGTTTACCTATCCCTGATCTGCACCATCAAACTATTAAAAAGGCTTCATGTCAAATTATTAAATAMCTTTAGRCCTAAATACAGTCATTATAACCACTGTAAAGTTGGTAAGGCATTATTTTAAAAACTGTATTTACAAATTGCTGATGTAGTGATTTTTATTAGTTTATMAACTACAGCAGCTAATARACACTTGATTCATYTAAGTCYTGAAGACTATAATGGCATMGTTTTTTSACAGTATCACAATCAATGTTTTCAGTAACTAAAACTACATAAAAATATTATTATGTATTATATATTAAATCTCTTATTTCTAAAATTAAGTGGACTATCTTTACTAAATGGTAGAATCCCAAACTGAAGACTGGTCATATTCTTTCAACAAAACGAAAGCTGCACTCACAGGTATCAAAAGACAAAAATTAACTGCCATTTGTACCAATATATTAATGTGCTTCAATCACATATGTTTTCATGAAAGTTCAAACATAAAAACATCACCTTTAAGATCTTGGCCATGTGATCTGCTCCCTGCCATGTCAGATTATACCCCGTGAAGTTTACTGTCTTAAGAGTGATAGAGTTCTTTACACCTTGACAAATAACAGAAAAACACACACACACACACACACACACACAATAAGATGAAGAGCCTATACATTTGTCAATCTTGACTTATTTGCTTTTCTTGAGTCAATTGGAGGTTTATAGCCACATTCTTAAAATCATTAACTACAATCTTCCCGAACAGGCAATTGACGAACAGATGCATTCTAAAACTTGTCAGTAACAAAGTGTTATTCCAGTTAACAGCAGCAGTTTAATTCTATTTAGGTACTAAAGCTGAATACACTGAATACTGCAAACTTTATTCCCAACCACTCAGTAAAATACTACATACCTTTTGAGACATAGGAAAAAAAAGAAAAACCTAAAAATCTTAAGACTCTTCCTATTTTCATTTCCAATGATACATGCCAATCTTGATAATCAATCAGTGATTTAAATGTCAACAATAAACCCAGTATTTTATTAGCTGCTATGCAGTATACTAGAGCAATAGAAGAGAGAGGACCTCAAATGCTCTGTTCCCTCAAATTGAAGGCAGGCTTCCTGACCCCTCCAGACCACTACTGGACACAGGGAACACACACTAATGTTTCAGGACCCTAACTTACAGTCACCTGCTTTGTAATTACTTCCATGACACCCCCCCACTAACACCACTGAGTTTGCTGCTCTTACAGGACATGACATATATTTCCTATTTTAACACATACCACAGTTTATTATAATTATGACTGCAGATACATGTTCTAACAATTTAAAGATCATCATGACTTTTTTGCTCTTTATATCTTGCTATTTCTCTTCCCATAAAGTTTCTTGAAGAGAAACATTAAAATACAGACAAACACAAAGAACAGAAAATATACAAAATGTGTGGTTTGTGGCTTAACACAAACTTAAGTAAAATTAATTCTGACAGTATCCAGCATGACAAACTTCCATGGTACAAATGAGAATGGACCAAGGTTTGAGCAGGCACAGGAGACAATCCAGGCATGAACAACACCAAGAAAAGGTAGACAGGAAGTAACATGGTGTGTAGGAAATCACGAGACCAGTCTGATGGGAAGAGACTTAAACAAGACTGAAACTCACTTTCTAAACCTCCATCTCCAAGTGGACAACTCGCAACACACAGGTGCACCAAAGTGGCCGATTTATTCAATCCATTTAATGGGGAGAACAAGTTTAAAATTTTATTGGTTTAGTTTGCCCCAAAAACAACTATCAAATGTTGGCAGGACACAATGAAGGCTTACCTTTGTTAACATAGTTAAGTCTTTCTCTCTCACAACTACCCCACTYARCTCCAGGTTCCTTAGCGCACACGAYGCACTTACACAGCATTTAAGAGCTTTACACAACTAGAAGGTCACATCTTTATTTCTAATCRCAGGAACACGACTTCTGTAAACTTTATTTCTGTCACAACCTAAACCAAAATTATTGTAAAATGAGTGATTTAAACCATATATTTTATCATGATTAAAAAGCATCTAAAGGGCTTCCCTGGTGGCGCAGTGGTTGAGAGTCCGCCTGCCGACGCAGGGGACACAGGATCGTGCCCCGGTTCGGGAGGATCCCACATGCCACGGAGCGGCTGGGCCCGTGAGCCATGGCCGCTGAGCTTGTGCGTCCGGAGCCTGTGCTCCGCGGCGGGAGAGACCACAGCTGTGAAAGGCCCGCGTACCGCAAAAAAAAAAAAAAAAAAAAGCATCTAAATAAAAAACAAAGCATCTATTCTGTGCTAAGGATTAGAAACGACTCCTGCCCTTAAAGCCTTCATTAAGGAGGAAGATATATAAAATCAAAATTTCAACCACATGAGATAAATAAACATAACTTTTATGCACAGAGGTTCCTATGGAGGCAAAAACTTATGTCTAAGTGACGGCTTCATGATAACCCTGAAGTACAATCTAGAAAGATGAGAGTATGCAGAGTTGGAGTACAATGTGCATTAACTGCACAGGGAGTATCTGTGCAAAGACACTCAAGCCTGACACCTGCTGGGCACATTAAATACTGCAGGTGGGGATGACTAAAGGCCAGGGGTCAAAGTGTGAGAAGAGACAGAAAAGAAAGTAGAGATGCTGGCCGAAGCAAGCCTGGGAGAGAGCATGGCTTGTATCCCACAGGTGATGAGGCCTGGGGCTACCACTGGCTCAGTAAGGGTGCCTCCGCTGATTAGAAAAAGGCACCCCGCTGCTGAAGGACCAATTAGATAAAGGGAGTGATCACAAAAAGCTCCCCTTCCTCAGGGCCAAAGAGCCCCATGAGGCTTGGCCGAGCACAGTTCAGACTACACGCCTCTGTGCAGAGCACACGCTGGGAGGCTAGTATGCACTAACTCTGTGTGGGCAAGCCATTAGCAGCATTATTTTAAGCGTATGTTTTTACGTTAGAAGATCACTTAAACTGAGTAGGCAGATAAACAGAGGAACGGAGCCCAGGGGCCGTGAAACCACCCAGGAGCTTCTGCCATAGTCCGGGCAAAATGTAATAGGGATGAAGAAGCAAATTTAGGAGGAGGCCAAAATCTACAAGCTAGCCCCACTGGATGCAAGACATAAAGGAAGTTCAGTGAAGGAACTCTGAAGAGAATGGGCTCAACAATAAATTTTTGTTACATTCAATGTAAAATATGTGGCAAAATTAAGTACAGTGGCCTTTCAGGTCCCTTCCAGCTGTAATTTCTTTTGATTTCTAACTTATTACTCTGCTTAAGTAAAGTCCGTTCAGAGGTACAGAACAGTTCCTACACCTGAATGGGATGCAAAGAATAATCTGACTTCTCTTCACCAAGGGGATGAGTGGAGCTGTCCTTGCAGAAGAGATAACAGATGGTGTGAACCCCAGATCCTAGAAAAAGTCCAGGCACACGGTAAGTATTCAGCTTTTTGAAAACAAATGAACAATCATTTCCTGTCCTAAATCTTCACACCCTTCCTCTGCTGGCTACTTTCTCTCAGCTTATAAACATCCTCAAATATACTCACTTAAGAGAGGCCCACGCACCGCGATGAAGAGTGGCCCCCACTTGCCGCAACTAGAGAAAGCCCTCGCACAGAAACGAACACCCAACACAGCCATAAATATATAAATAAAATTTTAAAAATAATATATATACATACACTCACTTAAAAAGCTCTCAGACCCATGATTCTTTGTATCGTCTTGTGGGTAACCTAAGTATCTCCCATGCCTTCAAACACCTGTCCTCCCAAAAAGCCCAGATCTGAAACTTGGGCCCAGACCCGTCTACCAGGCCCCTCTATATCACTAAAGATCAAGTAAGATCCTCTCCCCACCCTCAATCCCTTCCTACTGTGCTCTGTATCTCACAAAAAGATGCAGCTGTAAACTGTCACCCAAGCTTGCTGCCCTTCCTTTTCTAGCTGGTCACCAGGCCCCACCCATTCTCTCTCGGATCTCCAAAATGCAGTCCAACCTTTTATAACTTAAGTGGGACCTTTAGATTACAATTCACCCTGCACCCAATCAACTGCCTTCCACATGGAGGTCCGAATGAGCCTCTAAACCAGAAGTCCATCTTATTGTTTATTAGGGTTTCCCACAGCCTTCAGGATAAACATCCAAACTTCTGACAGGACAAACAAGGCCCCTTTATGTTTGTCCCCACTAGGTTACCAGTATCAATTCTCATTTCTTTCCCAAACCCTGAGTTACAGTCCTGTATATTAGTTTTGCCATATTTTCTTATATTTCTCAACCTTTGACACACTGCTCCCTCCTGCCACCCCAGGAGGTTCTACTATCCTTAGAAAGGATGGCACCTCCTCCAAGAAGCCTACCCTGAACTTTCCCTGTTAAGATTCTGTGCTCTGCAAAGGAGAAAGGTGGCGGGGAGGGATAAATTAGGAGTTTGGGATTAACATATACACACGGCTATATATAAAATATGTAATCAACAAGGACCTACTGCATAGCACAGGGAACTCTACTCCATATCCTATAATAACCTGCACGGGAAAAGAATCTGAAAAAGAATGGA